AAAAAAAAAAAAAAAAAGAAAGAAAGAAAAGAAAATGTGGCATATGTATACAATGGAATGCTATTTGGCCTTTAAAAAGGAGAAAATCCTGTCATTTTAGAACACATGGGTGAACCTGGAGGACATTATGTTGAATGAAATAAGTCAGACACAGAAAGACAAATGCTGCATGATCTCATTTATATGTGGGGGTGTAAAAAAGTCTTTCGTAGAAATAGAGAGTAAAGTGGGAATTGTCAGAGGGTGAGGGGTAGGGAGATTAGGGAGATGTTGGTCAAAGGACACAATTACTAATTAGGTAGAGGAATAAGTTCAAGAGATCTATTGCATATCATGGTGACTACAGTTAATAGCAATATATTTTACACTTGAAAGCTGCTAAGAGAGTAGATTTTACGTGTTCTTACCCCCCAAGATCAGTATGCGGGGTAACACATACGTCAAACAGATTATTTAGCCATTCCACAATGTGTACATATATCAAGAAATCATGTTGTACACCCTAAATATATACAATTTTTATTTGTCAATTCAAATAAACAAATAAAACTTAAAAAACAGAAACTGGTCAGGCACAGTGGCTCATGTCTGTAATCCCAGCATTTTGAGTGACCAAGGCAGGAGTATTGCTTGAGCACAAGAGCTTAAGACCAACCTGAGAAAAATAGCAAGACCTCGTCTCTACCAAAAAAAATTAGTGGTGGCACATGCCAGTGGTCCCAGCTACTCAGGAGGCTGAGGTGGAAGGATCTTCTGAGCCCAAAAGGTTGAGGCTGTGGTGAGCCAAGATCATGCGACCGCATTCCAGTCTGGGCTACAGTGAGACCCAGACTCAAATAAATCAAAAGTCAAAAACAGAAACTACCAAGTGCTGGCCAGGATATGGAGAAACTGGAGTCCTTGTGTACTGCTGGTGGTGATGTAAAATGATGAAGCTTCTATGGAAAACAGTATGACAGTTCCTCAGAAAGTTGAACCCAAAATTACTATATTGATCCAGCACTTCCACTTCTGGCTATGTACCCCCCCAAAATAGAAAACAAGACTCCAACAGATGCTTGCACACCATGTTCACAGCAGCATTAGTCATAATAGTCAAAAGGTAATGATAACCCAAGTGTCCATCTGTGGATGAACAGATAAACAAGCGTGTATCCATACAACGGAATATCATTCAGGCATCAAAGGAGTGAAGTTCTGATGCATGCTGCAATACGATGGATCTTGAGGATGATATGCTGAGTGAGATAAGCCAGATATGGAAGGACAAGCACTATATGATCCCACTTATGTGAGGTACCTAAACTCACCTCAAATTCATTGATAAAGTGTGATGGTGGTTGGCAGGGAAGGCAGAATGAGGAGCTGATGTTAAGTGGGTAGGCGTTTCTGTTTGGAAGATGAAGACGTTCTGGAGATGGATGATGGTGATGGTTGCACAATAGTGTGAATTACTTAATACTGTACAATTTAATTATGCATTAAAATGGTTGAAAATGACAAATGTGTGTGTGTGTGTGTGTATTTCACTACAATTTTTAAAAAAAGTTCAAGATTGCCCCAGCAAGAAAACAAACGCACATGTATGACAGTGCAGCTGCGGCACAGATGCGCTTCCTTGGGGCCACCTTTCTCCCCAGGCGGCCAAGGGGTCATCTCCTCAATTACAAAACTCTGCCAACTACGCTCTTTTAGCCTAATCTGACACAGCTGTCACTGGCCTACCCCTGGAATCACCACAGAATCTGAACTGGCCTCTGGCAGGCTCTCTGAGGAATTTTGTGTCCACACTCCAATTACAGCCACCACAGAAATGGGTCTGCCAACCCCTGTGAATACCACCTGAATGACTAACTTGTCTTTGACTTGGCTTATGTTTTCTCTTCCTTTCAGAGACTATATGTGTGCCTAAGTGACTCTTGAAGAACCCTTTATCTGTGGGGACATCTGGTTCCCACAGTGGCTCCTGAGGTAGTTTTGTGGTATGTGAGAATGTCACTGCAGAATTTATCTTCCTTACTAAAACAGGACTCCCAGGGAAAGTAGGACCATCAACCGACTACAGCCAGTGCCCCCTGTCTTCCCAGTCTTCTGGCGATGAAGCTTGACAGTTGAGTTTTTGTTGCTGTTGTTGAATTGAGGTCTCCTTCTGTCACCCAGGAATTGGCACAATCACAGCTCACCACCGCCTTGACTTTCTGGGCTCAGGCAATCCTCTGCCTCAGCTTCCGAGTAGCTGGGACTATAGGTGTGTGTCACCAAATCCAGTTAATGTTTGCATTTTTCTTAGAGACGAGATCTTGCTATGCTGCCCAGGCTGGTCTCAAATTCCAGCTCAAGCAGTCCTCCTGCCTTGGCCTCCCAAAGTGCTGGGATTACAGGCGTGAGCCACTGTGCTGGGCCTGACAGCTGAGTTCTAACTTCTCTCTCCCTAGTGGTTTCCATGTTTATTCTCCAAGTCCTGCTGATTTTCTTGGTGCATCTGCCTTTCTGGTCCCACCTTTGCTTGTTTTCTGCTCTGCGCTGACTTGATTTCTGCCCCTCCTTGCCTCTCCTGATTACTCAGAGCTTCAACGGCCTTCTCGGACAACTCCATCTACTGCTGACAGGCTGGTTCACCTCAAACACCTGCCACCTGGTGGCTTCAGCTTCATGCCCAATCATTTTGATAATCTTCATCTGTGGGCACAGCCCCCGCAACCTCCCCCCCCCCCACCCCGCCATCCCCAAGTTGCCCAAAGCTTTTTCCCAGCACAACCTGCAGCTCCTCCAGCAAGTCCAGCTGCTCCACATGCACCATGACTAGCTCATGCCGGCCTTTCCTTCTCCAGCATCAGCTCAGAACCAGCCACAGCTCACAAGTCCAAGAAGTCCTCTCTGAACAATGTGGTGGTGACTGTACCATTCACATCTCTCCTGGTACCTACTAGCGCAGAGCAGACATGCAGGGATGCTCCTCACCATGGCCCCATCCTCTCAGCAGGTGCGTTCCTGCCTTTGCACTACTGGATCACTGAATGTCTCCAGCGCTCGCTCCTAAATCCCTTTCTATACTCTTGAGGCTTGCCCTGTTTTCAAACTGTGTTTTGGGTGTTAACCTCACTCCCTCCTCCAGCCTGGAGACTGAGGACTGATATCTAACCTGTAGTTAGTGACAGCACGTGCAGGCTGTGATGCCTGAGTAACATGGGTCCAGTTGTACTGATTTACACCATCTGGTATCCCCCCCTGCATCATGCTCCCCTCATGTCACTTTCTGTGTGTGTTTGTTGGCTCCTGGAGAGCGTGCACCCCACAGCTATGGGGGGGGAAGATACCGATCCTTACAGAGGTGAGTGCTGGTGCTGTCCAGCCACACGCTGCCAGGGGGAGGGGCGGAGGTCCAGAGGGTGAGGGTGGAGGTGGGGTCTCTGCCAACAGAAGACTTTAGGAGTCCCGTTGCCATGGATTCTATCTTTTTTGAATCTTGGATGTCTGAACGAGACTCTAGGATTTGTGTCCCCTGGGACCACAGACACAATGGGTATGAGTTTTGTGGCATGAGATTCTGGACCGTTTCTTCCAGCTCTGTTATAGTCAATGAGCCCCGACTGCACTTCAGAGCCACAGGCCTGGCCTGGCCTTCTGCTCACTTCTAAGTGGCATCTGGAGAATCGGTGGCCTCAGCTTGGTTTGTCTCCCAGCGTGAAGAGACCTGCACTCAGCAGCGAAATGAATGTGGTGGAGGTGGCCAGCACCTTTCCTTGCTTTCCCCAAAGGAATATGTGACAAACACAGGCATGGATCAGTGAAAGCTTTGCCCCCTACAAGAACCCTGTCAAAATACCCAATGTTGCCTAACTTCAAAGTCACTGCATCAGGCAGAAAGAAAGTGATTGATCTCACGGCTGAACTCTCTCTCACTTACTGGCATGACAACCGAGCTAAATAGAGCCGAGATGAATTATGAGTCTATTTTTGGCAGCTCCTTATGGAATTCATGCACACTGTGTGTTCTGCATCAGTCGAATCCTTGGGCACACTCAGAACTCTGAAGCAAACACTCGTCTGTAAATGTTAGAGCTGCCAAGGTTGGCTGGGTACTCTGCCGGGTGACATGTTAACTCTCCCAAGGCTGCTGGGGCAGGGGAATGTTTTGAGTGAGCTTCGGGCAGAGGGTGAGGCCAGTCCAGGCGCGCTTACCTTTACCCTGTCCATACATGCTTCCATCTTCAGCTGCTCCACAGCTTTCCTGGCCTGGGAGATGCTGGTGGTGCTGTTGTTGGACATGCCTTCTTTCATTCTGCTGCCCCTAGGGGCAAGCAAAGAGGAAAGGTTAAAAGTGCTGCTTTTCCAAGACCAAGGCAAGACCCTCCTCAGCCTCTCCATCCCCCACCACCTACAGCTTTTCTGTGCAAGCCAGGGGCATCTGGGAACATGGGTAGTGTTGGGTAGAACACCTTCCTGGGATGAAGGGATGGCGGGCTTCGCCAGAGTGAGGGGAACAGGACATGATGCTTCTGTTTGGAAAGACTTTCTCAGTTCTGGGGAGTGAGAAGAGGACAGCGGTCCTGGAGTGACTTCTCCGCCATGGCAGCCACCACCATGACCACAGGTGATACCCAGACGCTTGTGGAGTGCTTCATGAGCCATTACTCACTTGCACACGTGCTTGCTATTCATTCCTCTAGCAGCCCATGACATTGACAGGACGATATTAACTTTTGTTTTGTAAATGAAGAAAGAGCAAAAATCCAAGAAATCAAACCAATAGCCTAAGGTCCCACAGCCAACATTTGTGGGTTGAGAATCCAAACTCAAAGCTTCGAAGCCTAGCCACGTGTTCTCTCCAGTGTCTCCAATGACCTTCCTAGCAACCTACAGCCTTGACTGAGCACAAATTTCCAACGAATGCTTTCTTATTAATTTTGATTTGCTGTCCTTCCAAAAACGTTTACAGACTTTGAGAGTTTATTTTCAATAAGAACACACACACACACACACACACACACACACGCGCACACTCACACTCATACATACCCCCCACACCACCATCCCAAGCACAGATTTGCTTTTCTTGAAGGAGAAATACATTCTCCCTGACCCAACACACAACCATGCCGCCAGGTGGCTAAGAAATGACCGGCATAATGCTACCTGTTTCATGGAAAGCCCATGCTGACGATCATAGGTAGCTCTTTCGTGAGCAGCTTGGAGGAGACCTAACATTGAAAGTCTGTGAGGATGGATCACTCTGAACAGAAACACAGGGACTCTGGTTTCCAATGGCAGGGATTAGGCATGAAGAGGCCTTGGCTGGTATCTTTTGTTTGCTTGTTTCTGTTTATACTTTATTTCAACTTTAGTTTGTCATCCACCTCATGATTGTTGGAGTTTATTTTATTAAATTTTTTTTAGCATGTAAAACATTAACATAGTTTCAAAGTTTCCATGATACAAACTGGTATATCAGAGAAGTTAAGAATCATGCTCACTGCCCTCCAGTCCTTTGTGCCCCTTCTGTTCTTCCTCCTACAGGCAGCCAATCACATGAGACTCTGGTGTATTCTTTCCTGTGTTTCTTTTTATGGAAAGAAGGATGTTTCATGTATATTTTCTTATGTATCCTTCTTTCTTACACAAAAAGGTATCATTATGTGTATGTGTGTGCTTTTGAACTTTACCTTAACACTTACCAATATATTCTGGAAAGCACCACATGAATATGTAAAAAAGATTACACTCATTCTTTTTCAGAGCTACACAGTACAGTACTCCATCATGTAAGTTTACCATATCTTCTATAATCAATAAACAGAGGGTGCCAAAAAAAGTATACACATTTTAAGAAAGAAAAAAACTGTCTTAAAATTGTAATACTCTAGATATGCTGATAACAAAAGATTAATACAAGTCACATTTGACTTCTACAATTGCAAGAGGTGCTCAAAGTGGTTACCATCAGTGTACAGACACTTCTGATTATGGTGAGCTAAAGGTAACACATAGATAACATCGCTTAAAATGTGTATACATTTTTTGGCACCCCTGGTATTTAGTGGCATTTATATATTTTCATATTATTATGGGTGTGTCTTCAAGGCAAATTTCTTTTTTTTTTTTTCTTTAGTTGCAGTCTCACTCTGTCACCCAGACTGGAGTGCAGCGGCCACTCCCGGCCACCGCAG